GGCCCTGTCGCTGTGGCCTCTCCCTCTGCCAGTGCCGCGAGCCTGGGCTTGCACGGGGTCAGTGTAACTGTCTGGTAATAGCGGCTGTCTTGTTCCAGTTCAATAAAGAGTAACGCGCAGTAACGAGGTGTGGGTGCTTTCCTCTGCCACGTGCTCCCGGGCGCTTGGGGCTCCCTGCCCCGCACCTCCCTCCGGCCCCGCCACTGGGCGCAGACAGGGGTGCAGAAGGCACGCTGGGCTCGGGAGCAAAGCGCAGCTCCGCAATCCCCGCCGGAGAGGGTGACGCCCTGCTGCGCTGTGGTTTACTGGCTCTGGGCGCAGCACGCCCTCATCCCCAGGGCGGGCAGGGCACATGTGGCCGGAGGAGATGCGACGCCCCAGGGTCGAGCCGCAGCCTGTACTGGTTATCAGTGCAGGGGCAGGGAGATAAACTGTTCTCCCTGCTTGACACCGATGTGGGGAAACCAACCTGGTGAGGCGAGTGCCCGGAGCGATTGCCGCAAACCAGAGCTCTGCCGTTCGCCTCACTGCGGCAAAGCCACGGACTGGGTTGTTCCCCTTCCCCGGCAGCGGGCTGGGAACACGTGCTTCCTCCCAGCTACAGTGCTGGGGAAGCTGTCCCCTCAACAGCCCCGCTATGGGAGCCAGCCCAGCAGGCTGCAGGAAGCCCTGGCCCCCCCTCTGGGCTGTAACTGAGCAGAGTACAGAGCTCTCAAAAAATATTTATTATCCACAAATAGAAAATCCATCCTGCCAGCGAGGGCCTGGCTGGCCGTTCCAGCCTCTTGCACACGTGGTGGAGGCCGGAGCCCAGGGGCTGCTCTGGCCCCACAGACCCCAGCCTGCCCGCTCCTCGCCCTGCAGGGTCCCTGCAGCTCCTCAGGGGCTGCTAGGTCTGCAGGAACTGGGGCTGCACACGGGCCACCTTACGGAAGTCCTTGGTGTGCGTCCGCGGGCACTGCATCTCACACCAGCTGATGGGTACCATCTGTACCCCTAGGGACACCATGTGTCAGGGGTTCCCCTTCCCAAAATGGCGTTCCTCCGTGTGGAAAGGGAGGAGGCAGAACTGCCCGGGCCCAGGCCCCGCAGCCCATCCCTACCTGCCTCGCTGCGCGCCACCACCACGCCCAGCTCGTTCTCTGCCGTGCTCAGCAGGTAGTTGGACTGCGCGTCCCCCAGCGAGATCTGGTTAGACAGTGGTTAAAGGAAAGGCCTCCCCGAGGGGACTCAAGCAAACCTCCTGTCCCTGGCGGCCCTCCTGGTGCAAGGGAAAGGATACGACTTTGGCCAGGACTATGTCACCGGGGCGGAAACTCTTGTACACTTCCACCTGCACAGGAGAGAGCAGGCAAGACGGCACAGCATGTCGGGGTGCTCGTCAGCGGCGGGAGAAGTGCCCCCCACCAGCAGAAAGGAGGAGTGGGGGTGGCTGCAGTAGCAGAGTCACTGGCAGAGCCTCACTGACCTTATCTTTCTCCGTGGCTCGAATATCTTCTTTCCTGAAAAAGGAGACGGAGGGATCCGAGCGCCAGTGAGCGAAGGCGACTCTCCAGCCTGCGGCAGGAGCCCTGGCCTCCCTGGGCGCTCGCCAGGACTTGCTGGACACCTGCCCGGTGCTCAGGGCAGAGGTCCTGCCAGGGCAGCTGGCTGCGCCGCCCAGAACCGCCTTCCTCCCCCCTTGAGGATGGGGTGCTTGGGCACCCTGTCCCACGGGGATCCCAGCCCTCTCCCTACCGTATGGTCCCCCGGAAGGTGGACTTCAGAGGTGTGGAGCCAACATACAGGATGTGCACCTTGGCGAAGCGAGAGTTAATGCTGCAGACCTGCCCGGAGGAAAAGGGGAATCGGTGCCAGGACTGGCCTGCTCTCACCCCAGGCCAGGTGAAAGGGCAGGGTGCAGGCAGGGAAAGGGCAGGGTGCAGGCAGGGAAAGGGCAGGGTGCAGGCAGGGAAAGGGCTCTATGCAAGGAGCTTGCGTCTCACTCGGCCTCCTCCTCCTTGTGACCGAAGAAGTGGCGGCGGAGGTGGGACACCCAGCAGCAAGCCAGGCGAGGAAGAGGATACTTGTGCAACTCAAGACACACTAATAAGACTGAGACCCGCTGTGACCCCAGTCCCTCTCCCGCTATCAGGACCATATGGAAACCAATCTCCTGGTCTGTGCCACCCTTCCTCCAAGGCACTGCCCCAGGCACTGCCCTCCACGCACCCTGCACCAGAAAGAGTTCTGGAAGGGAGAGCAAAGA